GAGAAGGGAGAGGGTTGACATGTCATGGGGTTGTTAACCAATGTCATAAAACAATATGTGTACTACTGTTTCATGAGAAACTATTTGTTTTGTAAACCTTCACCTGAAGTACAATAAAAATAAATAAATAATAACAAAAAAAATCTCTGCCCTCCTAAAGCCTCCATTCTAGAAAGGAGAGTTGTACAATAAAGAATCAATAATTAAAATCCTTACAATTTCAAACAATGATAAATGCTCTGGAAAAAAAATAAAGCAGGGAAAAGGGATAAGAACTGAGGTGAAATGGTCAAACAAGGCTCATGGAGAAGGTGATCTGAAGCCAAGACTTAAAGAAGGTGAAGAAATAAACCATGTAACTATCTAAGAGAAGAGAATTCTAGAGAAGTGAATAACAAATGTGAATGTCCTAAGACAGAAAGTGTGTCTGGCGTGTTCAAGCAATAACAAAGAAGTCAGTACTGGAGGAGAGTGAGCAGGGATGAGAACAGAAAAAATCAGAGAGGTGAAGAGAGGAGGGCAGGATTTGTGCACAGCCTTGTAGAGAGTAAGGACTTTGTGAGTGAGACAGGAAAGCCACTAGAGAATTTGAGAAGAGAGACTGGATCTATCTTTGGCTTTAAGAGTATCAATATCACTTCAGCAGATGTGTTAAAAATAAACTACAAAGAGGACAAGGGTAAAAGCAGGAAAGCATTTAAGAAGCTACTACAATAATGCAGAAGAAAAAGAACCAGAATAGGCACAGTGGAAGTGGTAAGAATCTGAATATAAAAGCTAACCTTTATTGAATGCTTACAACATGCCAGCCACTGTTCTAAGCACTTGACACAAATTAACTCATTTAATCCTCACAATAACCTTAACAGGTAGGTACTCTTATCTTCATTTTATAAAAGAAGCACCTGACACACAGAGAGGTCAAGTTATGTGCCCAAGAGCATACAACTAGTAAGCAGCTGAGATTCAAACCCAAATCTAGGTAGTTTTCCCATCCTGCTGTTGTTGTTGTGTGCCGTCGAATCGATTTCGACTCACAGCAACCTTATGAGATAGAGTAGAACTGCCCCCGAGGGTTTCCAAAGCTGTAATCTTTATGGGAGCAGACCTCTAGGTCTCTTCTTTCTCAGAGCCACTGGTGAGTTTGAACCAATGACCTTTCAGTCAGCAGCCGAGCGCTAACCACTGTAGCACCAGTGCTCATTTTTCCTATCCTGGAGAGACTAAATCAATAATAAATATAATTATCTCTACTATGCAGGATGATTACAAACACTGTATCTCTATCAATACATCTCAATGGAGACCATCTCCCTCAAGACAGGAACTTTTGACCCACAGCTGAATTTAAGGTATACTTTTTTTCTTTTGAAAACTTAATGTGCAAAAAATGGACAATTCCCCTTATAGAATCTGATGTTACTCTTTGTAAAAACTCTTCAGTTAGATAGGCTACAAAAATGTCCCACTACTGCCAGTCAGCTGGAAGACAGCTTTCCAGGGCAAGGCACTGAAAACTCAATCAAGATTCGAATTCCATCCTGTGTTGCTGGCTGGCCATATTGCTGGGCCATCTGTCTGTTTTAAGAACTCAGTCCATGTGAAGAGAGACTCCCAAAACCTTGTTTAATAAATGTGTTTTGGGGAGGTGAACCCTAGCATCAAACCTGAGAGAAAAAGGTTTCCTGAAGAGCCACAGTTCCATTACAGCAAAGACATCAATGCTCTTTGAATTCTTTCAATCATGAAGAATTCAATTGAAAAGTCTGGAACACACAAAAAAAGAGCAGGGTCCTCAGACAGTATCTCCACTGTGGAGGAGGGGGCTGTAACCAGGACTCAGCAAGGACACAATGTATAGGAAGAGAAGGAAAAGGCATGAGCAAGAACCAGATGGAAGAGACTTAGACTATGGGGCTCTCCCTGATATTAACCACGTCAATAACATTATAAAGGCGGCTAATACTTAGATACAGTACTGAGCATTCGTCAGTTTTAGATCAGACTTTGTGGGATAAAGCAGAGGTCTGTCTGTCACTTCCACCCATCACTCCTAGAGATGCCAGATGATCTTTGTGTCTTGTAAATAAATAAAAATGAAACTGTGTCAAGTTAAAAAAAAAAAATTTGACAGAGTCCAAAAATGGCCAACAGTTATGTCCACCTGTCAGCTTCACTTTGAAGCACAAACAGGAAAAACACTAAGGGAAAAAAACAACCTTCTTGACCAAATATAAAGCACTAAACAGTGACAACACCTATATGACAATTGGGGGTTTGAAATGAAGGTTCACATCCATACTCCCAAAGTCATTATTTTTCAGTTCCAAAATGGTTGTGAATGTAAAGCAAAATGCAGCAACCCACATACTCTGGGCCCCAGTCAAGGTGGTGGCTGAGGCATGTGGCCACTTGGGGTCTAGCGTATAGCATGTAGACGGGGAAATTGTCCTCCACTACTCCCTCCTCACTTACATAATGAACTCAGGAGCCATACCTTGGGACAGCTCTTAGTCAACCCCTCAGCTTTCTCTAAAATGTTAGGGCGAAGCTCTTGCTGGTCACATCATCTCCCTTTTCCTGGGTTTCATTTTTATGAGGTGAATTTTAGGTTTCTCTGGCAGAATTACAGGGAAAATTAAAAAGATAACTGCCTCCTTCAGCTCTGTGGAGCTCTCTAGTGACTGTATAGGTGTATCTTTCAAATCCAAGAATTTGGAAACATAAAATTTTATCACGTGAGGAGTATTTGAAAGTCAATTGATTCAGTCTCCTACCCAATAAGACTCACTTCCTACAGCATCTCTGACTGATGGCAATCTATGGTTCCACAGACATAACTCTGGTAGAGGAGCGTGTCAACTCTCAGAGCAGTCTACACACCTGTCTCTCACAGGCTCTAGAGTTAGCCTGGCGTGGATCTGAATCCCATCTCTGGCACTTCCTTAACTGACTGTGTGATCTTGCAAATCTCTTCATTTCTCTAAACCTCATTTTCCTTATCTGAAAATGGGATTTAAAAAAAAAGCAGAGTAGTAGTTAACAGCTTGGGCCCTATAGCTGAACCATCCAGCTCTGTCATCTATAAATTATTTAAATTTGGGCAAATTTAATTTTTCTGTACTACAGTTTTCTCATCTAAGTTGGCGACAACAACACTATCTACCTAACAAGATTTTCTGATGATTAAAGGAAATAATACACATGACGCCCCTAGAATAATTATTGTAGCTTATATTAGCTTACACTGAGTAAACACTCAGTAAATACTAGCTGTTACCTTTATTATCTCCCAAGAGAAGACTGTTACAGGGTGTACATGAGGCGTGTTTAAAGCCTTCAGTAAAATGATTGTTATAGTTAAGAGTTCGATAATGTTGGCAATTACTATTACTACCACCTGACATCTTTTGGTTCTAGTTCAGCCTTCTGGAGCCACAGCAATCAAATCTGTTCCCTTTCCAACCTGAATGGCCCTTATATATTTAAAAAAAAACCTACCACCTCATTTCTCAGATTTCTCTTTTAAAGGTCAAAACTATTTAGAAACCCTTCAATGAGTCCTCCAAGGGCATGGTTCTCAGACCCTCCGACATCTTGATCAACTTCATCTGACACTACAGTATGTGGCCCTCTTAAAATGTTGCACTACTGAATGCCAGCTATTATCTGATCAGTAAGGATTCAACAGAACTACCAATTCCCACGGCCTAGATAAAACTACTCGTTTCCCTAACCTTGGTACAACAGTCACTAACGTAATCTAAGTATGTATTGGCATTTTTAGCAAATTCATCACATTCTGAAAGAATATCAAGCTTCTGGTAACTAAAATACTTTTTTTTTTTTATTTACAGCTACTAAACCTGATCCTTGTCTCTTCATCTTATATTCTTGAATTTATCTCTTATTCTAAATCCAAACATCTATCTTTATTCCTGTTCTAGGATACATTAGAGCCCTCTGAAATCTCTGCCATTAGCAGTTCTGCATGAATTGGCCGTAGTTTTCCACTGACTTCAATCACAGGACACAGGCCTACTGACAGATGCTCTAATAGAGCTCCTATATAACAGACATACTTCTCCTTCCCCCATTGTGGAGCAGTGACCCAATTTCCCCTTGATAGGCAGGATCAAGAGAAGCTGGGTAAGTATCCCTATTACACCTTTAACCATGTCATGGATACAAACTGTGACCAGCACAGGGCAAGTGGCAGAGTCCACTAAAAATCTTCATTCTGTTCCACATGTGATTTTAGCGGTATACTCAAGAATGTGCATTAAGTTTAGTTGTTGAAGGTGGGTGATGGGAACAGGGGGGCTCTTAATACTGTGTTATGTTTGAAAATTTACATAATAAAAGTTTAACAAAAAACAAGATCATAAATACCAGAAGATACAGAGAGTTACAGTGTTCTTTTGGGGTACAGGACTGACATATAGAAAGGAAGTAGACCTTTTTTTACTTTAAACCTTTAGTACTTTTTGACTTTTTAAATATGTACACATATTACTTTGACAAAAATAAGAATAAAAGGAAAAAAAAAAGAAGTACATCAAGTTAAAGTCAACTCCTCCAAAAGTCATCATGGGCATGCTGTTTTTAATGTCATCAACTGTAACTGAATCAGAGGCCTCACTTTATCACTTAATCTAGACAAAAAATACTTAATGTAGCTGATAAAAAGTACCTGTACGTATACATATAACCATAAAGTATAATTTGCCTACATCTTAAATTGAGTTTAGGCCTAAATCTTGAAAAAAAAATTCAGTGTTCTCCTAGAAGATAAATCTCCTGGAGATTGCCAAACCCGTTCTCTGATGATGAGTAAGTACATTCAATCTTATAATGCAAATCCCTTTCAGTATAAGATCTGAAAATATAAAATATCTTAATATTTTCCCTATAGTTGCTTATAAAACCTACTTGGTAAGTGATTGAGCTTTCTGCTGCAGGAAAGTATCCCTATGCATTTTAATGGCTTGAAGACTTTTCCTGTCTACAAGTTTGGCAGCTGCTGGTATCTTCTGGATTAGAAAATTATCAGGAAACCAAACAATATTAGCAGTTAGAGTGATGGCTGGTACCTGAAATAGTAAAAGTACAGAATAAAAATCATTAAGCATAGGCTAAACAATAAGCTGTTCTACAACATATAATGGAAGACAGAATTCATTTCAGGAAAAAATAACTACAAAATATACTCATTAATATATTACGAGACAAAGATTTTACTATGGCACAAAGTTAAGGCATTTCCGTATCTAGTGTTGAGTATGACAGTTACTTTATTTCACCTAAATATTAAACAAAACACAAACGCATGAATTTTCAGATGAATAAAAATATGCAAAAGTACATAAAAACTCGTATCCTCATGACCCTGACTTACATTCGACATTACTGAAAAAATAAAAATACCCAATATGGCTGAGTTCGCATGGTCACATGTCTTGATTCTACACACAAACTAAATTTTCAATTTTGAAATCAGTCGGACATCACAGAAATAGCAAACTTGTAGAAAAAGATTATTTAAAATTTTTTCTATTTCAATAATGGGAATGAGGCAGCCAGAGGATGAGAAGAAGAGAAGGAAGAGAAAAAAGAAGCAAAGGAAAAAAAGTAGTATTAGTAGCAGAGGTAGAAAGTTAACATACATTAAAAAAACTGAAAAATATACATCAATATGTATTTATGGGAAGTGGAGTTGTGAGGTATTTTCATTTATGTTACTTATCTCTGGAATGCTTGGATTTTAAAAATGAATATGAAACCATTACTTTTTTAAGCATGAATATATTTTTATATATATTTTTATCCAATTTTTCTATCTACTCATGTTGAAAAAATAAAGTTCTAAGTTCTTACCTTCTTACAAATGTCCAATAAAGACTTATAAAACTTTTTATCAACAGTACGAAAAATGTGAAAGTGCAGCACAAAGAGTCCACAAATTCCAACATACTTGTCTCTTTGGTCAATTTCAGAAGGTTCTCCTTATAAAATACGAGAGAAAAACAGAACAAATGTAATTGAATTCTGCTGTCAAGAAAATGCAAACTTTATAAACAAAAACCAAAAAATGTATTTCACATTACCAAGTTTGGCTTCTACATTTGCAAAAATTGAACGAATACTATGCGCAAATTCTTCAGCAAAAGTGCTGTTTTTTGACACAGATACTCCTCCATTTAGAGAATCAAACTGTTGTTCTATACAGGCCTAGGCAGGAAACATTAAAGAGAAATTTAGATTCTCAATAATGAGCTACTGAACAGACTTAAATATGGTGTATGATAAACTTTTAAAATTATCATTTAATTTTACTAAAACTGAAGCTTAATCTAATGAACTACATGCAGACTCAAACTGTATATGTCCTGAGCCTATAAAGAATTAAACAGTCTTAAAAGGTAGCCTTACAAACTTAAACCTAGAGAGTATTAGCACACAGAAAACTTAACCAACTGCCTGAACAGCCTCGAAGATCCTTGAATAGTTTTAACTGAAGGGAAAAAAAAACCCTTTTCCCAAATACAACTAACACACTATTATTTCTGTTTGCTGTTAGATACTGAGGTAATTATATTTTAGTGCACTAGCAATGTTTTAAGCCAAAGCATTTTTTAAAGCAAAACATAACAGTATTCTATAAAAGTATCCCACTATAATTCTGAGCTGGGTCAAATAAAAAGCCCATTTGTTATATCCTGATATAGCTCTATTTACCTGGAATATCATTCCATCAAGTAACTGCCCTTCCAGCTTCAGTAAGAACTTTTCAAATGGCTTTAGTTTTTCTTCTTGAATTCCAAATTTTGAAGGATTGTGATGCACAGATTTCAATAATCTTGTGGAAGAATATAAGAAAGATCTTAAACTGGCCTACTGAACTCTTAAATTAAAAATTTAACATTTCCCCAGAAATCACAATTTTATATTTATAATTCTTGTTTGGCTCTACACATTTGAAAATTTGAGCAAAAACAATCCTGATACATTTAATTTTCTTATCATGCCTTTTCATATCATCTTAAATTCAGATGCCTGGCACTCTGTACCTCCCAGATATTCAGTGAATACTTGTGAATTGAGTAAAATAAAATACCTTCACCTAAACAAGTCTTGGAGTATACAATGCAATGAAACTAAGCTCAGAAAAAAACTGTCACATGGATACAATGAAAGGAAAAAATAAATCTGAGCCCAAACAAAGATGGCACAGGGCCAGGCAACATTTTGTTATGTTACATACAAGGCTGCCATGAGTTGGAGCCAACTCGACAGCAACTATCAACAATATAGGCATATCATAGTCTCACACTCATTTGAAATTAAAGAGTGATTACTGTCTTCATAAAAACATTTGCCATGAGATCCCTCCAAATATAGATCTCTGGGTCATTTAAAGGATTTGCATTATTTATTTGTTTACTTTTTACTAACATACTAACTATGCAAAGTAAGAGAATATTTTTAAAAATTTAATTGACTCACCTTTTGTACATAGTCCAGTGGTCTTTCAATGTGATGTGATTATCAATAATTTCATCCAAGGTGAGCAAAACTGTTAGCAGTTCTCCCAAGTGCTCATACATAGTCTGTTAAAAAACCTTTAATGATTATCATTTAATCACTAGTTAGAAGTTAAGCTTTGTGTAGATTTTTAAAGTAAAATACATTTGAGCTAATTAATGAAATTAGTTGAAGGAGCGGTTAAATCAGTTTATTAAGCTACAGGTTTGGTCCTCAGACGGGACTATTAACCTGAGAGAAACACTTTGCCCAATATTCCATCCTTGTGACCTTACAAAATTTGTTTCACTGCCCAGAGCGACCATTTGGAGAATCTGCATTGGGCCACTAGTTGGGAAAAACTAAGAATTGCACTGCTTGTGGGTCAGTGCCTCATCACCTCACAGATGAAAGAAAACAAATACAAAAAAAAAAAAAAAACCTTTAATAGTCTTGTTATAATTGTTGTACTCCCCAATCAAAAACACACTAAAAGTAAACAGCTACATATACAACTTCAAAGTAAAATACCATAAAAATTCGTATTGTAGGTCAAATTAAATTACTTTTACCTGAAAATGAACTCCAGTTGTCTCTATAATTTTGGGTGCAATCCTGTAATAAAATAACACCTTAGTAAAGAAAGTTTGCTTTTTTGTCAGAGATCTCAAGGAATACACACAGTAGCAGAAACTCTTAGAATTTTAATGTGTTCATCTTTAAGAATTAAGTCACTAAAATTTAAGAGATCCAAGAAATTACACCGTATTACACTTTCCCAAGAAGGGCACTAACTTGTACATATCAAGTCTGGAATATTCTTGCTTATAACCCACTCATGGGTAGGGATATGACAATATGTGGCCCATAAATAACCTTAGCCATTTAAACCTAAACGATCTATCTTGGCATGAAGGTAGAGAAAAAACAAAAGTGATATGCCTATCTTCCTAAACTATTAGAATTTCTCAGCTCCCAACTAGAATCTTTATTATCCCACCCAAATTTGGGAACTAATCCCTTCTTCAGTCAGGTTGATTTCTGAGTTCTCATTCCTACTGAAAAAATAATGCATACTACTGGAATTATACAGAAGTCAAAAGCCACAGGATAATTCAATTTTACTTCATAGAGAATTTGTTCAACATTAAATAACTGAATAACTGTAATCAAAATACATATAGCTATTTCACAAGATAAAATGCATTCTTTAGAAGATTAAACACAAAATCAAATAAATTTCATCGTTCTGGGGGGAGGGAGTCCCCTCAGAATTACACACCAGGTACTGGGGAGGGGAGAACTATGCTCTCATGCTCTTCTGCCATGAAAGGTACTTTGGTAAAAAGAAAGAACATAAAATAAATACCTAACTTAAGGGAAAGCCATGGGAATGAGAAGCAATTAACATAGTCTTACAGTTCATAAAGAGAGTTATAATGCAGCATGATATAGTAAGAACAATGAATGGACCGGAGACAAGAACAGTACCTAAACTGCTATGGAATCCTGGCAAATAATTTCTCTGGGCCTCAGTTATCTCTTCTGATAATTGAGAATTCCTAGTCATATACTTCAACAAAGTTATTGTAAGGATATAATTAAATAGTAAATGTGGAACAATTGTTAAGTATAAAGCATTAATCAAATATTAAGATATTATTTTGGGTAGTAAAAACAGCAAGGGCTCTATGAAAACTGGATCATCTCTCTTGATTTAAGGCAGTAGTCCCCAAACTAGGATGATCATTAAAATAAGGAATTTTTTAAAATGTAAATTCCCTAGCCCTGCTACCCAAGAGTCTATATTTTAAGAAAAGTCTCACGTGACTCAATGAGTCAGGGAACCATTAATTTAAAGGAGAGAGGAAAGGAATAAGGAGAGAGAACATGATACATGCACTAATTCCATATTAGCCTTTTCTATATAATCCAATTTCTTTTTTAAGATTAGTCTGTCAACATTCTCATTCAGATAGACAATGGTTGATTTAATGTGATAGGGACCATGTCTTGTTAACCTATGTAGTACACACCATCAGGTAGTATTTGAAATATTATGAGTGTTCAAAGAATGCTGAATGAATAAGTGAATGAGTGAACAAACCAACAGAAAACTATTTCAGGTCATTAGCTAGTTTCAGAAAAACATTACCTGCATCTCTATCATACAAGTAAAAATATGTCTAAAATTCATTACTTGTTACTGATATAGAGGGCAGCCAACTGATGGACTACATTCATCACCACTTCATAGCACCTCGTAACAAAACAAGACAGTTCCTGAAATGACAAGTTGAGTAAATGTTATAAAGTTGCTTTTTAAATGTCACCATTTCTGACTGAAGTTTATGGTAACAACTCTAAACAAAACAATTTTCCAATACAATCCCGTTAACCAGCAGCCAGACAACTTCAAACATTCCTTAAGCAAACAATACTTAAGACTCACCTCCTACATCCCAAACTGATTTCTGCCTCTTTACCCCCACAGCATTTCATTCACACTTCTATCATAAGCCTTATGTTTTAGTTGCTAATATACACCTAAATGACATGGACTGTCTCATTCTTTTTTGAATACCCACTGCCTAGCTTGGCGATTAACACACAACTGCTTCTAAATAAATGTCTGTCCTACTAAATGAATAAATGAATGAACATTTGAATGAATGAAGGAGCTAAAAAGAAGCCAGTTTGAAAAGTATGACAATGAGGGGAAGGGATCTCCAGAAGTCACTCTGAAATAACTCAAATGTTTATTACCTTTAACCATATCTATAAACAGACCTGGCATGGACCAAATAAAATATTATGTTTGTCATGAAATAATACTTAACTCCCATCTGCCACGTTGCAGACTTTCTGAAAACGTTTTACCGATTTCCACTTTTAAACCTATAGAAACAGTTTGTATCTAATATATTGAAACCTTATTAAACCTACAGCTATTCTAAATTTTAAGCTCTATGAGGGCGGGGATTTCTGTACTGGGCTTTGTGCACTGCTGTATCCCCAGCACCAAAAACAGTTCCTAACATATACTAGGCCCACAAAAAATACCTGTTGAATGCTTAAAGATGGAATTTTATGCAGTTCTCAATGAGATACAAAAACAAATTAAATTTTAAAGTTTATACAAATGAAAATAAATACTGCATTTCAGTTATCAGCCTTCATTTTACATTTCTTATTAAACTTCTAAAATATCTGAATTTCTTGATTTCAATTTCTATGGAATTCTGATTTCTTCCTCTAGATCAGTTAAGTTCAGCTCAAGTCGATAGAGAGAGTTTAATTTTAAATACTTATGATGTCTTTCAAAGTATTTTGTCTCTATATTCATAGCTCTGTTACCATTCAGAAGTATCAAAATGAAAAAAAAACAAAAACAAAAAACAACCAGTTGCTGTTGAGTCAGTTCCAACTCCTGGCGAGCCCATGCGTGTCAGAACAGAACTGTGCTCCGCAGGGTTTTCAATGACTCAATTATTTGGAAGTACATTGCCAGACCTTTCTTCCAAGGTGCCTCTGGATGGGTTCAAACCTTTTGGTTAGCAACTAATCATGTTGACTGTTTCCACCACCAAGGAACTCTGTCTATTTTTCAAGTACATAATTCAGACATAAATATCAACCCACATGTACTTGTAAAATGGATCAATTTCCTATTTAGGTTCTGACCATAATATAAGAGATGTTACTGGCAATTTACAATGCATTAAAGGGAGAGTTAGTGGCTTCTGACAATAAAGTCAGCCAAAATATACTACTTACTTTCTGACTTAGCTGACATGGGTTTGTTGTTTGTTAATACATAAAAAGAGGGGGACTCTCCTTTTTGGGTAGGTACAAGCAATTTTAACATTTAAGATACTCTCCAACTCAGGAGTCCAAAGAACTCTCAGGAGTTCTCCCAAGAAGTCTGCTAATTTCTTCAGATAGAGCAGAGTAAGTCTGCCAATCCAATTTATCCAGATTTTTAACATATGCTCCTACTAACAAATTATATTCCATAGCCAAATTTATATTACAGTGTTTAAAGCTACCTCTCACTAGGACATAATAGCATCCAGCCAGCTCACTGACAGTAGAAATATTTTTCTTATCTAAATAACAATTCTTATTTCAAAATTTTCTGAGTCTATTCTTCTCCTTAATAAAATGAATCAAAGTATGACCTCACTTATATAAAATATTCCACTTATATGAAATAGATCAAAGTCTATTAGTGGTTACCAGGGGTGGGGGGAAAGAGGAAAGAGGTAGACATTGCTTGGGGTACTCTAAATTTCTGTTAAGGGTGATGGAAAAATTTCGAAACAAGACAGTGGTGATGGTTGTGCAACATGGGAAACATAATGTCACTGAACTGTACATGTAAAAAATGTTGAAATGGCAAATTATTGTTTTATTTATTTATATATATACATATATATATACACACATATATACACATATATATACACATATATATATATACACATATATATGTATATATATATATATACACTCAGCACAATTTAGGGGGAAAAAAAAACTAAATCAGGACCAAATGTCAAAATTCCTTTACTAAGCAAAAGTAATCATTAAAAGAAAAATATCCAATACTGTGGCACACTGTAAAGTCTAACTTAAAATAAAAAGGGCTCATTCTAAGTAGCTGAACTGGAAATCAAGGTTTTGTAGCAATATGAGTTTGGGCAATAAAATAAACTGCACCATTTGTTGAATATATTTTGAATTACATTAAAGACTAAGAATACCACTGCTACTTTGCTTTTAAGATAATAAATATCTGCAAGGCAAAATCACCATAAACAAAGTCAAAAGGAAAATGACAAACTGGAGAAAAGATACCTGCAACTCATATAAAGAGCTAACTTCCTGAATACGTAAAGAACTTCTAGAAATCAACAAAATACTAACAATCCCACCAAAAAATGGTCAAAGAATATCAACACTTAACAAAATACAGAAACACTAATGGTCTTAAATATATGAAAAGATGCTTAACTTCACTTGTAAGAGAAATAAAAGTTTAAAAATAATTCTGAGATACTGAAATATTAATGTTATTTTTTTTTAAGTCACAGAAAACTAGAAGACAAAATCCATTTTTATAAAATTCAAAAAGAAACAAAACTAAACATTTAGGAATTAAATATATAAGAAATTAAACAATTTTGAAAAAGTAAGATGGAAGGGGGGATGTGACTGGAGAATAGCACACAAGTAGATGCAATAACATCTTTAACGTTCTAGCCCTTAAGTTAGGAGATAAGTCTGTGGTTGTTCATTTTATTATTAAGCTTCATAACTTACATGTCACATAAATTCTTTTATATATATCAATTATACATTACATTTTTTAAATAAAAATATAAACGAGGTAGACAATAGTGTGTACAGTGTGCTATCGTATCACTTTGTAAGCCCAAATGATACAAGGCTCAAGCACATTATCGCTGAGGTAGATAGGATTATGATATTTTTTCCTTATCTCCAATTTTTCTTTTTCCATTTGTACAAGTATTATTTTTGTAATGGGGAGGGAGAAATAGAAATTATTTCATACTTTTGATAAAATTAAACCAAAAGATCGAGAATAACTAAAACTTTGCAGTGACAAAGACAACATCTAAATTGAAATGTGGGGTTAGAAGCATCAAGTGGTGTTTTTAACAACCTCTCATTGCTCATGTAACAGCTTAATCATCTCCATTAATAGCCCTTCTTGATATAAATTCTCTTTTCCCACCTGATATAAAGTTTAAATCACTTTAAAAGGCATAGTGACAAACTATCCATAAATTAAATTGTACATAGAAACTTATTTTGACACCTGTTTCCCTAAAAATACTATGGAAAGCTTTCAGGAATTACTAATCTCCTAAACTACAACCAATGCTGTTTAACCGTTCTGTCCTCAGAGTGCAAACCTCAGCATCTGAAGGTTTCAGAAGCCTTTTTTTAACTATGTGTAAATAACTCAAAGTTTTCAAAAAAAAAAAGTGCAATACAAAGTAAAAATCAGTTACCTGTAAGAATGAAATAAATCTTCCCATTTGAATTTGACAATCACCTTCCACCATGCTGGAATCTGTCGCTTTAAAAGACAACATGAGAATCATATTTCAGTGTTTCAAATTAAACTCAATCTACACCAAAGGAAAAAAAATGATTTTCATAGTACTGTAAAACACAATATTTAATACTGAAAAAAAAAAGAGACAATCATCAATCACACAATCAGAAGTAAACATGTTTCACTGTTTAATGAATTCAATGAAAATTCTCATCTAGCTACATACAGCACTTTGTCACTTACAAAGTATCGCAAACAACTTTGGCAAATTTGCCACTGCTTCGTCATCAACATTTTTTTCACCTGTTTACCAAACAAAAAAGCCAACAAAAAATTCTGCATGCTTGTTTTCTTATACTAAGACAAATATATCAACATGGTAGTCCTCGAATTGTCTGTTAACGTTTTGCTCATTTCATTCTCAAGAAAGGCATCACAACATTACAACTCTGAAATTTGAAAACTTACCTCCTTCTCCATAAAACAAGAGGCCATTATAAAATTTAGTTTCAGCCTGATTTAACAAAAAAAAAAGACATTTTTAAAGTTACATTGTTCTTAAGCTCCTAGGCTCTTTCAGTTACCTATAAATAACAGGACTGTATCATTTAAATATAAATTCACAAAACATTTATAATACAAATAAATTCAATTTATCTTTAGTGTATCAAAGATATTCCTGACACTCAAAAAGCGTTTCTTGATTTCTTTAGCCTTTACTATGTCTTACCCAATGACTCTGCCTCATATCCTTCCATCAGTTCATGGGAGATAGAAGGCAAACACACAGTATCAAAAAAGAAGAGAAAAAAAGATAAAGTTTACCCACTTCTACCAGAATTTTAATGACTCATGGGTAAAGAAATACAAAATTACATGTACATTAAAGATTTAAAGCTTTTTAAAAAGATCAGTTATATCTAGAAAGCCAGCACATGCGGCAAGTAACACACACTTTGGAGGTATACAGATCTATGTTCACACTGTCACTACCAGTAAGATCTTAAGCAAGTGACCCTCTCTAAGCCTCAGTTTCCTCATCTATTCCTCACCTACCCCTCTGGGTTATAAGGATTCACTA